CGAACAGCCGCCGCCCTGTGAGCCATCGGTGGCGGCACCCTCCGGCGGTGGAAGCAGCCACAACCACGGCCCAGCGGTGAGGCCGTGGCCATGACCTCGCCAGCCCCTCGGGGCGGCTCCGGCTTGGGCTGGTCGACCTTGGGGCGCCCACTTCCACTTCTCGGGCAACTCCCACAATCCGCCCGGTGTAGGGGGAAGCCCTCCGTCGTCGTTCTGAAGATAAAACCAACTCGTGTACCACCGGCGGTTGGAGGGCCTTGAGTTGGGCGGGATGTAGAGTGTGCGGCGGTCTGGCGCACTTGGAGAGTGCGACCTCCGGCCCTCGCCGCCTTCCTCTTGCCCGGCGTGCCCGAGCGGCTTTGTAGTATGCCCTGCCGGAGCAGATGGAGCCACAACTCCCAATGGGGCGCGATCCCTAAATACCCCTCATGACGGCGGCAACAAAGATAGCCGCTGAGCAGCGGAGTTGGGATTAAAATTGTGGAGCTCCACGTCGTAGTAGTGCGTGGCGCCCGCATGAACCGTCCCCGGGACGCCGAGGCCACGCTTCGTGGAAGGAGGCGAAGCTTACGACATAGCCGTCGCGAGGCCTCGGCTCCGGCTCGCCGTCTGGAGCAATCCATTCGGCCGGTGGAGTCGATCCCAGGCGGAGGAGCCCACCGTCGACAAGCGGCTGGAGCATCTCCTCGGTGACGTCAAGCGGATCCCGAGGTCGCCTCGGCGACAACGATATCACCGGCCATGGGTGTTATTTGGGGAATCAGGTGCGGCGGTGAGTCTTTTTCTCTCCTCCCACGCTCTCTCTTTTTTCTCGCTTCCTCCCTAGGCTCGCTTTTCCTCCTCTCCTTCTCGGCTTTTCATTGCTCTAGCTAGCGGCTCGGCGGGCGGCCTTGATGCGAGCAAGGTAAGGCGAGGAGGGCAAAACTCCGGGTATTTATGCGGGGAGGAGGCGAAAGCAATGAGCGATGAAATCGGGGAGATTTCCCCCAATCTGGCGCGGTTAACCACGAGCCGATTTCACCGTGCAGCGCCCACGTCTCCGCATTAAATGCGAGGATGGTTACGTCCATCCACCACGCCACGATCGGCCACTATGGCGGCGGTACCGTTCGACTCCCAATAAAAGCGCCTCAAAAAGCGCGCTACTCATGGCCCGAGCCAATAGGGAAAATATTTCCCATGGACTGTTCCTTTCATAGGAAGGAACAGACTCTCTGAGCCTATTACAATCCGGGGGAAAAATTTGGACCCAAAAGGGTTTCGACATTTGCCCGAGGATATAGCAGAGTCGAGGCATTGTGGGCGAGCCTATTGGGGCGAGACCCAAGCGAGCGAAAGCGCTTGGGATGCCCAAAGTCGTGTCCGAGACCGGCGAGGAAAGTATCCGAATGGGATCCCACCGTAGGGAGGCACCGAGCCACCGAGGCCCAACGAGCGGCCTCGGCACCCACTAGAAATCCTCTGGTACTCTTGGAGTGTGTCTCTGGACGCTAGCCGTCCCCTAACGAGAAGGGGTTCGGGCCTCCACTCGGACTACCCGAATGTGACTCACCGGAAGTGCCACCGCTCGTGCCCATCGAGGGTAGCGAGGCACATTCCACCCCTCTTCCGGCGAAAAGGAAGCGAGGGTCGCATAAAAAGTCGGGGAACCCCGACGGCCTTCTCGCCCTATCACGGAGGCTAGGGGCTCCTCTGCAAATATGCCGAGACCCCACGACCGGGCTCGCGCCCAAGGGGCCTCGGCAAACAAACCCTCCCTTGCAGGCGTATAAAAAGTCGGGGAACTCCGGCGGCCCTCTCGCTCTAGCAGAGGCTAGGGGCTCTTCTGCGACCTTGCCGAGAGACGAGAATGGGCTCGGCAAACAAACCCTCCTCAGCCTTGAGGGGCGTATAAAAAGTCAGGGGAACTCCCGGCGGCCCTCTCGCTCTGCTTGAGAGGCTAGGGGCTCTTCCTGCGACCTAGCCAGAGACGAGAATGGGCTCGGCAAGCAACCCTCCGTCCGAGCGAAAAGGAGGATGTGAGGGGCGAATGAAAAGTCGAAGACCCCCGACCGTCCTCTTGCTCCGGCGGAGGCTGGGGGGCTCCTCTTGCACCCAAAAACCAAGACAAAAACACGATAAAAGGCACCGAGCCCGTTCACGGTCCGAGGGGTTGAAATTTGGGCCTCCAAGAGGTTCGACGGCCGCGCGCAGAGAGGCAGCAGAGTCGGGGACGACTTGGGCGAGCCTACGAATGGCCCAGGCCCGAACGAACAGTCGCTCGAGGCGTCCTAAGTCGTGTCCGAGACCGACAGGAAAGTATCCGAATGGGATCCCACCGTAGGGAGGCACCGAGCCACCGAGGCCCAGCGAACGGCCTCGGCACCCACTAGAGAAATCCTCCGGTACTTTTGGAGTCGTCTACGGACCGCTAGCCGTCCCCTAGCGAGCAGGGCTCGGGCCTCCACTCGGACTACCCGATAACTCTCCGAAAGTGTCCACGCTCGCGCCCATCGAGGTAGCATGGCACATTCCACCCCTCCTTCCGGCGAAAGGAAGCGTGAGGGACATACCCAACGTCGGGGGACCCTGACGAACCTCTCGCTCCATGCGGAGGCTAGAGGCCTTTTTTGCAACCTCATGAGACCCCGCAACCCGAACTTGCGCTTATGGGCTCGGCAAATGCAATAAGAGCTGATCACTCAAACGCGAAAGTGGAGAAAGCCCCCGGAGGAGTAACTTCACTCCTCCAGGGGCTCGGGGGCTACACCCACCGGAACCACGGAACCTCGAAAACAAACCAATTCCTCACAGGCAGGCATAAACCCAGCCTCGACGAACCCTCGGGGAGAGTGCACGCACTCACCCCGAGGCTCGGGGCCTCTTGTCGGGTACCTTAGAGCAGGGTACCCCAAGCAAACATCAAACTAAAGCTAGAAGGTAAGCCGTGGGCCCCTCACACCACACGCAGAGCCCTCCTCCACCCACCTCGCCTCGAGCCTCGGCGGGAGGTCTCGGAACAAACTCCGCCTCGCTCATGAGGCTCCCAGGTAGGTCTGGCGGGGGCGCCAAGCCTCGGCGGGGCGCCGTCTCCGTCTCGCCCGAGGCTATCCAGGGAAGGCCTCGGCAGAGGTACATTCTCCGTATCGCGCGAGGCGTCTCGCGCAAGGCCTCGGCAAGGAACCTGATCTCCGTCCCGCGCGAGGCCTCATTCTCCGTGTCGCTCGAGGCCGGCTCGTCCGCGGTCCGTCGCCCCCCGCCTCGGCCGACCCTCCCAACAACTCGTCATGTCTCATTAATGCTTCAACCACTCCCATAATCTCGGTGGGGACGGTGGCTCAGCGCCACAGGATGGCCTCGCGACCAGAGTCGCATCGGCTCATACCGCCAGACGGTACGACGGGGTTTACGGCCCTTTGTGTCCTACTTGTGTCCACGATCGGCGCCATACCGGCGGGACGAGGCACGACAGGGATTACGTACCCTTTGTGTCCTACCCTTCGTGTCCACGATCGGCCACCATACCATTTGGGGCGAATGCAGCGGGGATTACCGACCACTTGTGTCCAAAGCGCTGTACCCATGATCGGCCGCCCGCTCAAGGCCTCGACCTTTGTACACCGGGGCCTCGGCGATCTTGGGGTTCGTGCTGCCGAGACCCCCCCACCATGATGCCGGCCTCGGCATCGACCAAAGTCTCGGCCTCGCGCCGCAGTCCGTCCACGATGGCTTGCTTGCGTCGCCGCGCGCGCCACCACTCCGAGGCATTCCGGGGCTCCCACGACGCACAGGATCGATGGGATGACCACGCCGCCCCAGATACTCAAGGATGGACCACTCCGACGGCCACACCGCCACAGGAACAGGCTACAGGGCTCGGACACGCCGCCTCTGTTCACACGACGCCGTATAGTTAGCTCATGTACCGCCCTAGTCCTCCCTTCATGCTATAAAAGGAGAGGACCTGGGTTGTTTTAAGGGGGGACACCTTGTAACACACACACACACACACGCGCACTCCTGCCGCCTGAGAGCAACGTCTCAAGCGGCCCGCACGACACCCCGCCGAGACCTAGGACCAGCTCCTTCTCTCCTTTAGCTTGTAACCCCCTACTACGAGCACCTCGGTGCAAGGAATACGTCTCTTTGCATCACCATCCGGATCGGGAGCACGCAGAACAAATTCACTAGTCGGTTGAGGACCCCCCGGTCCGAAACACCGACACATTCATTGGGTGAATAATAATATTTCCGCCATTTCAAAATATAAACCTAGCGTACAAGGAGGTATTGTTTCACAAAGTCAATACAATCAGGAAATCAAGAGCAATCATTGTGATATTTCCACAAGCTACCTATACTTTGATTCTGTAAAAGATAGTAGTAACTAGTAGCAGCATGCTTAATTGAGGCATGAAATACTCTACTGAGATAAGTATTTAATCCGTTTTGTGCTTCGTTGGTATGTGCATATGGTGGTTTCAGAATCTTGAGATAAGTGGTGTCACTTTTAAATGAACTAGGCTTTACCCTAAGGACATCTCTAAACATACGGGGTCTTACCTCTAATAAAACAAAAGTTATTTGTCCTACAAGGACTTGAATAAAAGAACCTAAACACATGACAACAACCAACAGTACTCTAAAAAAAAGGGCGTACCCAGTGCAAAGAGCTCTCGCTCTGTGCGGGGTCTGGGGAAGGGTGTTAGTGGCAGGCCTTACCCTCGCCTGTGCAATGCGAGGAGACAGCGACTCGAACCCGGGATCTTCCGGTCACAGGCGGTAAGACTCTACCGCTTGCACCAGGCCCGCCCTTCAACCAACAGTACTCTAGGGCGTACCCAGTGCAAAGAGCTCCCGCTCTGTGCGGGGGTCTAGGGAAGGGTGTTAGTGGCAAGCCTTACCCTCGCCTGTGCAATGCGAGGAGACCGCGACTCGAACCCGGGACCTTCCGGTCACAGGCGGTAAGACTCTACCGCTTGCACCAGGCCCGCCCTTCAACCAACAGTACTCTAATCGTTCTATTTTTCCAGGTAGTGTTGCCTCTCAGCTGGATTAGTGAATAGCACAACAGCTGCTACAGAACAATATGGACGATATATCATTCTAAAAGCAATGTTGTACAATACAGATAAGAGTATTGGAATCAAGTAATGGGCACCAATATTCTTGAAGACTAGCAAAGATAGTGGACTGATTAGATAACTCTCACAAACAATATTTGCCTTATTTTAGCAAAGTATGTCCTTAGTACTTAACAGAGTCCCTTTATAGCATGTAAAATGTTCCTCATTTACCAATAGGTTATTGATATTGTAAGGGGTGGGGTTGGTATTGTATTTGTTACTCTTTCTTAAATGAAATGATACTGCTTGTTCGAGGAACAAAAACAAAATGCTGAGCACCCTACTCATGAATCACCAGATCTTTAATGTTCATAAACTGCAAAGCTCAATAGAAAAACTGTTGCTCCTCTATGTTGTGAACAGCATGGGAGATTTTTTAGAGCAAATTGACTGGAGTGTGTTGGTGTTCAAAAAAAATATTATGTTATTAACCATTGTAGACACTCCCTGCACCTATATCAGCTAATGTAAGAGGACCATTGCTGAATAAAAACAATGCCTCCATGGTCAACCAACAAAGTACAAAACTATGATTGAGCTATTAAAATGGCAGCTCAACTTACCAGCATCATCAAAGTAGCATCCAATTCCTGTGGCAGATATTCCAACAGCATGGGCCTCGAGGTAAAGCACTTGACCAAGAATGCCAGTCTCCCAGAACAAACGGGGATACATCCATTCACCTTTCTCATGCAGCACAGGCTCGAATCTAGCAATCATCCCACGGCTAAAACACCCATGCGAGGCAATTTCCTATATTAAAAAAAGAGGATAAATACTAAAATATCTGCAGGTACTAGCATAAGTTTCACAATCAATTGGGAAATTAAAAAGAGGAATATTAAAATTAGTTTCAAATGGTTAATATAGCAGAACAAACAACATAACTAATGGTGGAATGCGCAAATCTGAGCACAGCAAACAACATCATAAATAATAAAGCAAATCAAATACTCCCTCCATTCCAAATTATAAGACGTTTTGGTTTTTCTAGATACATTGCTTTAACTATGTATCTAGACATCGTATCTCTAAGTGCATAACAAATACTAAGTATAATTTATAAATGAATAGCCTGAAACAACACCATTTGACATCTCCATATACCTGAAAGCACGAGACCTGCATGGCCAACTTCTGGCAATCCCCTTTCATCAGCCTGTAGAGTGGGAGGCCATCAGGGCATCCTTCTGGCTTAACCCACTCAAAGTCCTGCCTCATGGCATGCTGCAATGCATCAAAATGCTCCTCATTCCTGACCAGGAAATACATCCCCCTTGGCAGCCCTGAGATACGATGCACAAATAGTGCGGCATGCACCTCTGCTTCCCATGGTAGTACACGGAACGGCAGGGCACTCTGCTGCCCTTGCCGCTCTCCTGATCTAACCTCCCCTGATGGGAGGCAGTGCATCAGCATCTGATAAAACGTATCCCTTCCCATCACATGCATGCCGTCCATGTCCACCGCGCTTCTCCTCCGCTGCCTCCTGCACTGTTAATTCATTATACAGTCCTTTGGACAAGGCTGGACTCTTCTGCCGTGGCATCACAAAAAACCGTTCTCCGGGTGCAGGGCCATGCTTCTTCACTTGCTCTGCTGTTCTGTATATCACATCCCACACCACATGATCTTTACTAAGTGCATTTGCCTTCCCCACCCACTCCAGCCCATCAAACCCCCTCAGCATCTCACTCATTCTGCCATAGTCGATCTCAGGCTCAGACCCAGCTGGGAATAGCAGAACAGCGCAATCTGGATGCTGCCGCTCCACCCACGGCGCCTTACCCTTGACCACTTTGTCAGGCGGTTCCTCCGGTGGGGTAGCCGGGCTCCCTTTCTCCACCCCAACGAGCCTCCCGAGGTCCTCGTCCGACAGCCCGTCTAGCAAACGCGCGTCCCAACCCAGCGTGGCCGCGGCCACCGCCACCGCCGCGAGCGCGTGCCCCACGTCGTGATTGCAGTACCGCAGCGCCCGTTCCCCGTACTTCCACGCCTCTCGCCAGAAGATTGACGATAGCGCCAGGACCGCCATCCCCGGCGCAGACAGAATCGCGGAACGATCCCGTACTGGTGCGGTAGCGCGGACTTCGAGGAGGTGATCGCGGGGCGCGTAGTGGGCGACGGCGAGGCGGCCGGCCTCCCGCGGATGCGGGAAGACCAGGTGGGCCTCGGTGGGGTGCAGGTTGCATCTGCTGGGGTTAACGAGGAGCGACCAGGTTGAGAGGCCCGCGGACTTCCAGGCGGAGAGCGCCAGGGAGTGGAAGAGCAGCGCGGAGAGGGAGTCGACGGCGAGCGGCTGCGGCGGCGGGGGCGGGGAGTGGAAGAGGGCAGGGTAGGGGACGGGGGCGACCGGAGGCGGGTTGGGGAGCGGTAGTTGCGGGGCGGGGGAGAAGCGGAGGAAGGGGTTGGGCTGGTTGGCCCAGTCGAGGCGTCCCGGACCGCGCGCGTAGCCGGCGGTGGGACTGTGCTTGGTGCGGCAGTGGTAGTCGGCGGCCGCGGAGGTGGAGGTGGAGGAAGAGGGGGAAGCGGAGGAGGACATGGCGACGCAACGCAGGGCGGCGAGAGAGGGAAGCAGCGGCGCGGGCGCGACAAGAGGTGGTGGTGGTGGCGGTGGCGGAGGAGCATTACTTCGAGCGGGCGCGCCAAGATGTGTCTGCGGAACGGGATGGAAGGATGCGGAAGGTTCGCCAACTGGTTACAGGATTTTTTTTCTTTGAACTGCAGAATTACAGACATGTAATATCAGCCGTCCGTAGTTCGCTTCAACTTATTATCAGCCATGGTTACTGTAGGTTCCCTTCAACTTCCGTATTATCAGCCATAGTACTGTAGGTTCGCTTGAGCTGGTTACTATAGGTTCACGTGAACTTATGTCCAATATTTTTCTCATAATAAATCAGCATCAGCCGATTTATTAACCGTAAAAACCATCAACCGAACAGCCGATCACCTATTGCCACATTTCTTTGCCAAAACATTACCAAATGTGGGATTAAGAATCTAGATACGTCTATATTTACAATAATTTTTTCATTATAATTTATTAGACAGAGTAATGTAATTTAAGAATAACATAAATATATGTTAATTTTTTAAAAAAAATACAAATTATTTTTATGAATTCCAGACATCAAAGAAATATATGTTAAATTGTTCACAGATTCTTCGGAAAATACAAAATCCACAAATTGCTGCGACGTGAAGGGGGCGGCGCCCGCGCACCGTGTACGCGAGAGACAAGATCGGTGGGGGCTGCCCGTGTCAGCAGCGCCGCCAGCAAGCGGACGGACAGACGGGACATCGGGATGGGCCGGCTGCGAGTCGAGACGGTGCGGGGTCTGCGGCGACCGGCGACGACGGGACAGCTAGCGCGCGCCGACATGCATTTTAAATGCATTTTATTGTCAATTTTATATGCATTTTAAATAGTCAATGCGGTGCTATCATGTACAAATAATGCATTATAAAAAATATATTCTACCTTAATTTTGGAAAATTATTGATATAAGCAACCTAAAAGACACGTACAATGCATCTGTAGGTTTGAACTGTTTAATTCGGAGCTAAGGAAAGAATAGTAATTTCACATATAACTTAACGTCGTTATCCTATCCAACTAATGGAAAGGCCAAGAAACCAAGCAAATCTCATTTCAGGGCCAAACAACTACGTTCCACAAAAAAAAGCAAAAAATTAAGAGGCACTTTTTTCTGGGCCATGGAAATAATTTCCTCTCTATATATAAAGAGAATTCCTTGTGCCTATCCATATGTTTGTTTGTTACTTTGTTTGTTTTGTGGGGGAAAACGAAAATAGGAGTTTAGATGGCAAACTCCAACTAATCACTTCTCCGAAGAGGGGTGAGAATTGTGCTATAACGGAAGATAAATGTATTATCACCGTCGATCATGATTTATCTAATATAAATTCCCACTGAAAAACACCAACACCGAACAGGGATACGTCTCTTCAACCCTCCCTCTTATTTCCTTCATAATACAAACAAAGAGATTGAACAAAAAAATCGAATTCGCACCTTAATTTCTCTCTCAATTCCCACCACTACAAAGCCTCGGCCCGCTAGAATAGCAAAACAAAAATTGTTTCAAGTGGGCTGGGCCAGGACAATTGAAATGTGGAATCGATGCGCGGACGAACCAGACCTTCGTGAAAAGTTATGGGTGTGTCCAACTTGGGCTGCATTGATGCCGTTTAAGGGCCCACAGCTCAGGGAAAATGGGTGCCATACTGTTTGTTCACTACTCTGGAATCCAAGGTTTGCTGGTTTGGGCTTCCCGTGGCGGTTGGGCCCAAGCAACACCCAGTTAATTCACCGCTGTCGTAGCGGCCCACTCACGTCCGCGTCAGCAACCGCAATCTGCGCCGGCCATCGGGCCATGAGTCTCCTCCTGCGCCGCGTTCCGAGTCTTCCGTGCACAGCCGCGACCACAAACCCTGGGTCATGGCGCATGCGGCATGCCGCCGCAGCCGGACCCGGACGAGTCGCTGTTGCCGCACCGGCAACACGGCGCGGCGCCGCCGCATCCGCGTGACGGCGAGAGGCGAACCAACCATGCGCTGGATTCCTCCTCGCCCCCCTGCTGAGCACGACGTGTCCATGTGAATGGCCGAAAGCCCACGCCTTCCTCGTTGCCAACGGCAGTGCCGGAGCCAGAACTGGTGAGACGAGCGTGAACTCGTTCGTACTCGTACCATCGTACGCGCAGTGCCCCACCACACCACCGCAGCGTCGCCGCGACCAGTTCTTTCTTCAATTTGTCCCTTGGCTCTCTTGCTTTGCCCGGTCAAAAGCTCAAAAGCTGGCAGCGCGACAAACGTCCGACGCAGGGCGACGCGTGTCGCGGTGGTCTCTGGACTTTCCTGGCCTAACCTATGGCACCGAGTACAGTGGTCGGTCCATGCCATGCGCCCATGCCGGCATGCCCACCCTTGCCCTTGCACGCGTATCTGACGCCAGGAAGATGGCGTTCGATTGCCGCGTCCCGCTCGTGCTGGCCGAGGCAGAGACACCGGGGCCGGGGCTACACCGCCGCCGCGTGTACGTACGAGCCTCGAACCCGTCTTCCCAGACAATTGGGCTGGAAGCAGTGGGCCTGTTCGGTAGGACTGAAAAATACTATTTTGACTGATTATTGTGAGAGGAAAATACTGTTCTGGCAGGACGTAAATAGTGATTCCGTGAATTGGCTGGCCAGCTGGCTTAAAGCCAGCCGAACATGCTCAGAGTTGGCTGATTTGTGGTGAGAGAAATATTGTTTGTTGGTTAAAAGTATAGTTTATAAGCCAAACGACACGGACGAATATTGAGCTGGGTCGGCTGGGCTTAAAAAAATACTGTTCATGCTGGTTTTTTTTTTTAGAAAAATACGATTTCAACTGAAAAAAAAACTGGCCAGCCCCGATCTAGGACAGCCGAACAAGCTAATTGTAGTACACGTGGCTAAAAAAGTACAGTTTACAAGCAGGACGAACGGGGCAAATATTGTAGTACACCGCGGTACGGACCGCGACGGAGTGCGTTGGACGATGGCTCACAGGCAGGGCGGCATAAAAAAGAGCGACCTCGCAACGCGACGCCGACGCGCATGGGCATGGCAAGAAGGCTCACAGGCAGGGCGGCATAAAAAAGAGCGACCTCGCAACGCGACGCCGACGCGCATGGGCATGGCAAGAATAGTGGTTAGAGATGCAGGAACAGTGCGTTTTTTCTGTGTATTGTATGTAGTAAGTATATACTTGTACTACTACTAAACCGCGCGTCTGATCTGGACGCGTCTCTCGGATTTTCTAATGGCAAACGAGGAGAAAAACCTAATCCCAGTCACTTGCAACGCAACCGTCCAGCTACTCCAATCGTGAGCGACAAGGGAAAGGATTCTATCAGGAGTATGTGCAGTGTCTCGGTGAAGCGATGACACATTGGCACCGCTGGAGCAGCTCGTACAGCCTATCCCTGTGCTTTTTTAGGTGTGCTGCTGTTGGAAAAGCGAGCAAGGCTGATGAGCTGCGAAAGACTGCACCTACAAGGAAGTGAACATGACGAGATCATGGATCCGGGCAATGATGCATCTCGTTCTTTGGCGCAACAGCAGTGCACCGAACCAAACCTTACGGACGCAATGATGCTTGCTCTGTATCAGTACGATACAGGGAGGCACGGCATTTGAATGCCTGCATTGCGTCCATGGTTAGGTGGCACACAACCAGAAACACCGAGATGCTGCATACAAAGAGCTCAAAACACAGGGTGGTTTCATTCATCCCAAACAGCACTCAAAGAATATCATTTGGTCCCCAGCAATCAAGCTAATCCAACTTCACTACGCCATAAATAAAATATGACGCCATCATATTCATGCCAAGATGATGCAGTGTTCGCTGGTCAGCAATCTCATATTGCATCACTCCAGATTTATCACTGAAACTGTTCAACCACCATACATCAAACCAGGCGTACTGCAGCAAAAGCAATAGCCAATGGGATTTGAAGCAACAGACCCGGACAGGACTCAAGCCAGAGAGGAAAAACAGCCTATACTGATGAATTATTGGCAAAAACCAAAAGAATTGTTAACCATCAGAAAGCAGCGGGAGGGCGCTGCAGCTGTGACGGCGAACAAAAGTATAGTCATTCGGGGAAAGGCCTACATAGCTACCTTTACAGAGCTGTTGCTTTGTATGTATTGAGCTTCGGAAGTTTTGTATCCGGTATTCTACTCTCAACAAAGCTATCTACAACAAATCTCATGAGCTCGACAGGCTCGCAGTAGGTGTTGCTGGCACTGCGCTGTTCTGCGTCGAGTTGGTCTTGTTCTCACCCCAATGCCATAGCATGCTCTCCCAGAAGCAGAACTTCTCAAAGCAAGTTTTCAGCCTCGGATCAGTTATGTTCCGTTTCCAATGCCCATCAGTGAAGTTTGCTTTCTCAGCCTGCCGCCGCTCCCACTCCAACCCAGCCTTCAACCTTGACCTCAGAAGGCAATAGCTCTGAAGCTTCTTCGGCATCTTGTTGTGCACCTTCCACCAGCGAGCATGCGCAACATCACTCGCAAACTCCCGCAGAATTTCAACATTCCAGTTGCAATCGTAGTCCCGGAAGCATAACCATGGCTTCCGCCCCAAGTAGTGAAGAACATAGAGGATCGGTGGGTTAGCACCAAACAACCGAGTCTTCTTGGCCTTCACTTCCTCTTCATCACCCTCCCAGAAATGCTTCAAGAAATTCATGTGTTTTGGAATCCGATGCCACCATGTGAATATCTCATTCAGGTACCCTTGGTCACCACCGTTGTACGATGTTATCTCATTGATGTGCTCCATCAGTAACTGGAATGTGCAGTTTGAAGGCTCAATGACCATCACTCCGGAGTTGAAGAGTGTTGCGTTGTTCCCACTTGCAGTGATTTCAGGCATTGCAAACAAGAAATCAATGTTCCTCAGGATGATGAGATCAGCATCAATAAAAATAACCTTGTCATAATCTGTAAGCTGCCATAGCCTGAATTTGCTGTAGTTCCATTCGTTGTAGGCATCGCGTTCAGCTTTGGGATTCCGGATCCTCTCTATTATTCTGACCTTCCACCCCGCAGATTCCAGCCCCTTGCGGTGGTGGTCACTTATGGTGTCATCAACAAGAATAACAAGGTCCCTTGTTGATCCTGCTTGACGAATGCTTTGAGCTGCTGTGATCGCACCACAAACATATTCACTTGCTGAATGCAGTATTGTAGCATATGCTTCTCTGCGTCTATCTACCGTGTAGAGTCGTGCTGCAGAAGACAGGAATTGTTCATGATTCAGGTAAAAAACCCTTAGACATTTAATACGTATATTTTGAGTTTCTTTTTCCAACAAGTTTAAAGCAAGCTAGACTTGTATCCATAGATCGTGTTGGAAAGTTCATGCATGCATTATAATCTATAGAGTTACTAGGTTTTTTTTGGATATGTGCATTAGGGTACACTAGGGAAATAATGAGCAACTTCTTATGGGAAGCTATTACAAGCTTGATACATTAGTTAACTTACCTTTTGCATTGAGTGGAACAGCAAGCTCACAGGAACCAACAGGCAGCCTGAGCTTATCCTTTAGAGCCTTCACGTCAGGTTTGTACAGCCAAGCATTGCCTTCACGTTTCACTAGGTCCTTGCAAGAGAAGAGATTTGGAATTGGGAAGCAATCAGTCACAAACAGCACATGGATTCCACTATTGCCTCTTGCTGTGGCTGCCACTAATTTTGCTGCTGATAACTGCAAATGCAGCCTTGCAACATCTCTTGACCAACCCGCCACACGAGAACAGGGAAGCTTAACAGCAACAACATCAAAGTGTGTCGCTCTTGGAAAACTTGGATCTGGAAGCGAAGGGCAAGATGGTATCTCTGTTTCTTCCTCCTCATCTATCCATTCAGGATAGAGAGTCTGCCAGGTAATGCTTTCATTGGCATGCTCTAGCCTTATGATTGAAAAATCACTTTCTGGGAGCATATGTGTCCAAGCGCCAAACTCAGTTCTATTAAAATTCAGGAGTCCAACACTGAGCTTTTGTTCACCAACATTCAGATGTTGGATACTTTTATATACATCCTCCCATTGAATGGTGGCAGAAGATACATATCGGGGATCAGAGCTTCTCTTATCCCATATCCACCCATTGACAAGCCTGCAAAAGCATCATGGACAGCATAAGCACCACATAAATAGACATTGTATGGTTATATTAAAAACTTCATGGCTCAATCACGAAAACATTACACCATGAACTAATGGGGAGGTATCATGATTCTCTACTGCATTACTGGATATTGCGCGCATGTATACTCACCGAGAGCTTGACTGCAACTGATGTTCATACACAGATGGTGTGTATAGGAGTGTTAGAAATGCAGCAGACATGATAGCGAAGAGCAAAAGTTGCAACGATCGGAATTTGCAACCGGAACTTTTCTCCAGCACAAAAACATCAAATTTTTCAACCTCTTTGAAACTTTTGCTTTTCTGGGTCCTTCTCTTAGCTGTGTCCTCACTGAAAAGGTAGAAAGAAAACAATGTCAGGACAGCAAACTCTTCAATGCGTGTATTTTAACAACAATTAGTAATCCTAATCATCACAAAAAAAAATATCGAAAAACAACATATTTGATTTATGTAACAACTGTCTGTGGATAAAAGGCAGTCATCACAGAATGGAAGTCAATGTAGGTTCAAACCATATATGATGATACTAGAGTACAGAATTACATCAGGCGAAAAATTACAGATGGTAAATTGCTGAAGAAATAAGTGCAATTTCCAGCTCATGTGATCACTGTGTTTTACCTAAACTGCTTACAGATTTTCAGCAGGTCCATGCCAAAATAATTACAACTACATTGTTGAAATGATGACACTAGTCCGAGGTAACAAAACCTGGTCCCAGCTTTTTACTTCGTAAATCTTAGTTCTAGAAAGGTAAAACTAAGTAGTACTGGTGCTGGTGTTTAACTTTTCTAGAAGATTGCATTGATCTTATTTATTTAATGTTCTTGCTTGGGAGGAGATGAATCCACTGACATGTGGCGGCCTCTGTGGACAGTACTGCCTTTTAATACTAAAATTAAAGTATTCAAAGCACATCTTTTTGAGAGGAGAAACTTTTTGCAGTATCACTTATGTATAAGAGTAAAGTGCTCAATCAAACAAAATTTGTTTGGCTATAGAAGAAAAAAGGCTAAAGGAAAAAAAACCACACCCAGCACTGAGAATTAAAAAGGAGCCAAAAGAAATTAGTCGCCTCTGTTAATGTCGAGAGCTCTACTTTATTAGTCACATCTTTTGGGAAAGCAGAGCATACAGGAAGATGACTGGTACCTAACCCTCCATGTTCTTTGATACCATGAAACACGCAACGAAAAAGCCGCACGGATGATTCATCCCGGCTACAGAGAAGAAGAAACCCTTTTCTTCCCAGTACTAGGGTAACATCATGAAGAAAATTTGGTCCAAACATATTGGACCCGACCAAGATAGCCGACATCACCGGTAGGGCACACACGAAAACCTACCATTTTCTACACCTGGACGCTAAGCACGGCAATTCAACGGTCCAGGGCCAGAGGTGACACCAAGCAGCAGCAGTAGCTGACCTGCTCAATGTGGCCTTAGCAGACACTGCACATGAAGCTAATGCTTGCAGTGCAGGGATTTAAATAGGGCTGCTGCCACAAGGTGCAGTCTTTGGGCAAAACAGCAGAGCGAGCACATGGATGGACACCGACGCCAGGCAGCGTGCTTTACAGCAGAAGAAACTGCTCAGCTCGAAGCAAATCTTTGTTGCTTGTTAGTAGAATCCTAATATGGATCGAAAATTGCCACAAAAGAGTGTAACTTTCGACCAGGAGAACCGTGAAAATCCCGACGAGTGTGAGAGACGGGCAGATTTACACGTTTGAAACGCATCGACAGCAAACCACCAGCAGCCACACATATCATCTGTGGGCAGAAGGGGCAAAGTTCTTGCTAGTTTCTCAAGCTGGGGATGGCAAAATGGGAGGAAGAACGGACCGACCGGTGGAAGATGTCATAAAGGCATAACCACCACTACCAGCGCCACCTACAAAATCAGGGGAAGTTATGGAGGAGGGGCAGGGCACGGTGAACGGAACGGCGACCAGAAGGGAAGGGACGGCATCTTGTACAGGGTACATGGCACTAGTACCGCAACACTCCCTCCCTGCTGCAAGATTACATGATAAGAATGGAGGATGGTAGCCATCTCACCACAGACACAGGCATCAATACCAGGCTTAGATGCAAATCAATACAGCACGCAGCACATGACCGCACATGGTAAAGCAAATGGCGCATCTGAGACTGAACCTGGATTAGCACGCTATCCACAGTCCACACCAAGCAGAACCAGCTCAAAAGCGTGAGCAGCAAGCGGGGTGAGGTGAGTAAGGAGGAGGGGAGGTAGATCGAGACTCGAGAGGGAGGGAGATCTTACGCTGCCCCGGCCGGCCTGTACCGGGCCTCCAAGGAACCCATGCGCTTAAACTCCAGGATCCTTCTCGGCGTTAACCCCGACGAAGGCTCAGGCCGACCACGCTTGCACCGCCCAGGTTGCGCCGCTTCTCATCTGCAATGGAGACAAGGGACACGTCAGGGTCCGCTAGCTTTCGCAGTTCATTAAAGCAAGCAAACAAGAAGATGCCAGGATGCCACACAGGGCCAGACACAATAAAAGCGGAAATCTTCGTGAGACGAAGCATGAAGGGCATGAATGGGAGCAAGTCGGTTAGAAAGGAGCAACAACGCGCGGTAAAGCAGCGAACCGCAATCTACCAAGAAAGAATGCAACAAATCAAGCAAGAAACCAGGGAGGGGAAAAGGGGTAAATCTGCTGCCGAAAGGGAGCGGAGGAACGCCAAATCGAGCAAATGGTGGTGCCAGACACACTACCATACCACCAGAGGAAAAAGAACACGAAACGCCAAGAACAGATCAAGCGCCTCCCAGCAAGAACGCATCGGAACCAGATGAAAGCGCGGCAAGAACCGATGGCGGCACAGGCTGACGACAGGCAGGGCGGCGCGTACCCGGAAGGCAGCCGGCAGGAGGGCAGGACAGGCAAGCGGGCGGAGGCGGCGAGGGCTTCAATGGCGAGACGAGAGCAACGGGCGGCAGCAGGTGCGGTGGGACGCAGGCGGCCGATGCGGGGTGAGGTGGCGGCTGGCTCCGGTTCGTCCTTCTCTCTCCCCCTCTTCTTCTACAGAGTTCTGGGTGGGCTTGCAGAGTGGAGCAGGAGAGGAGTTGTATATATAGCAAAGATATATAACCCCACTGCAAAAGCAAAGGGCGAGCCGGTTTAAGCGAAGCAAGCAGATGAAAATGGGAAGCGCGAGGCTGTTTAACGAGAGTAATCTACTAGTACTATATTGCCCCCGTTTCCTCGGGTGGGCCCACGTCGCGTACGGTCGCGGCCAAATCTTTGGTTCCGGAGGGGCCCGGGGGGCAGGGTGATTAGCGGAGTCGGTGAGGATGGTTAGCTAAAGAAGGGGAAGCTGGTTGATGCCCCACGAAAGAGGGAGACCACGTTCTTAGCTTATGACGAAAGCTGGCTTTGTAGTGGTAAAAACGAAAGATATGCACTAGCTAAGAGTGTGACGAGCCGCGGATGCTGGATGGGAAGAAGGAGCTAAATAATAAAGATTTAGAGATAGACTAGAGAATAATGGTGATTTGAGGCTGAATAACTATGGTCTAATAAAGAAATCAGGCTCACTAGGGTACAGCCCCGCCTCCCCCTTTGGATCCGCCCCTCAGTGTGACTTGTGTTTTTTAGTTACTGGTCAGTGCTTACTTGTGCAAACCGTCACATGCCTAGAATGACAAAGGCGGTATGTGAATCTGGTGAGCAGCTACTTAGCTTGTTCACTGGTTGGTTTCTGTACTGATAAGTTCGGCCGATGCTAGTTTATTGTAAGAGAAAAATACTGTACCATAGCTGATAAGCTATCCCTGAAACCAACGAGCGAACAGACTGCCATTATTACTTCTTTTGATTTCCAAGTGCAAGTCATAAGGGTTGGTATCTCTCTAAATGTACGTTATTCTACGGTTTTCAAATATACTTGCGTCATTTCTTCATATTCTCATCATTAAATTATGACAATCTGCCAAACTTTTACTCGTTCTCAGGGTGTTTAGGAGAAAAGCCAGTAAAACGTGAGGATGGTGAACACTGACAGTAGTACTTATCTCCCGTTCGTGTAAGCTAAACTACTGCAAG